TCTCTCTCTCTCTCTCTCTCTCTCTCTCTCTTTTGGATCGCTCACTCTCACCTCCTGAATACACTCGCCTCAAGTCTACTTCGTCTTCCTCAACCATTCTTCCACAGCTACCCTAATTGGGCGCCTGATTGCCCTTCGTCTTCAACCTCCACTGGTTGTCCGACCTGTTGGTCGCACAAGTGCTACCGTTGAGCTTTCACCACATGCGAATTGACAAGTGACCCAATGAAGCATTGTGGCAACTACAAATGGCAACTGAAGTGAATCGTTGTCAGCTCCGGACCGGTACCAATCGATGTGGCCTGGTGGTTGCAATTTGCCAGTACTGGAACTTACCAGACTCTCCTCGGGTGCTGCTGCAAAATTGGACTTTGCGATTGCAGACTTCCCTTGTCGGGTATCGGACTCGCAACTTGATTTAACTTACAGTATTTTATATTATATACTTCATGATACACTTACTTATATGTCTACTTTAGTAGATATTTCTCTCTTTTAATACTATCAAACAAAAAATCGAATGAATTGGATATTACAACATAACTAATCAATAATGAAGGGATTTATGAGTTTTTGAAACAATTAGAATTGTTGTGCTATTTTTGACAAGTATCACCATTTTTTGGCTAATCTAGCCTTCCCCGTCCCTCAGGACAAATAAGGGGTGGTACAGGAAGTGGTGCAGGAATATTCGCCTGTTGTCCATCAATTGCGCCTTTCGGCCTAATCTTAGGCCTTGACTCACCTTCCGTGTACGAACCTTGCGGAGGAACCCTTAGGTTTTTGGGGCATTGGATTCTCACCAATGTTTGCGTTACTCAAGCCAACATTCTCGCTTCCGCTTCGTCCACACAGGGTTGAATTGAAATACACTTACTAAGTTATTAGTTTTACAATCAATTTTCCGCACTACTATATGTCTGTCTCTTATACACATCTAGATGTGTATAAGAGACAGCTCTCTCTCTCACACACACACACACACACACACACACACACACATGGAGTCGTCTCGCCGTGGCCTGACCACACAGGCTGTGTGCTGTTCCAGTCCAGTCCAGTCCTGCCCGGTACCATTGTCGGTACCAGGCCAGTCCAGTCCAGTCCAGTCAGTCTGTATGCCCCAGCTGTTGTCTGTGTTCATTCTTCATTCTGCACAGTTTGGAGTGCGTGCGTGTTGAGTCCGCGTCGGAGCTGCGCTGTCCCTTCCATCTCCATCTCCATGTCACTCTTGCTCACCCCTTCGTCTTCATACTGATGGATCGCCATCCCGGCGGGTCCGCCACACTGGTATCAGAGCGGGAGCCTTCCCCGCTCCCACCCACCACAGCCCGTCACAGTGGGAAAGCTGTGTAAAAGCATTCTAAGGTTCGAATATGAGCCTCATAATCTCGCTATGTGCTGGAACACCTCGGAAGGTATGAAGTACGAAGTCCTTCTTCGCCTAGATTTGTAATGCCATACATTGGGACAAGTAGGTTATCAGCAGGAAACCACAAAAAGTACGGTCACTCCTCCTCCTCCTCCTCCTCCTCCTCCCTCTTACTCTCTATCTTCCCCTCGCGATCCACTCCATTTACCTCTCCCTTGCACATTTTCCGTTTTAATCTTTGCACTTCCTTTGGTTGAATCTTATTGTATCTTGTCTGTTCGTCCATGAGTTAATCATGGAATGGTTAAAATTCTTGATGTGGGCTCTAGATTTGCTAATCTTTTGGTTGCGTGTTTTCCGAATCTTCGCTGAAGTTTCCTATGGAGCTCTCCGCTATGTGATTGCCAAATGCAAGCATGAGGACGCTAATAGACGAGTGAGGAATCCTAGGCGTGATTGCTCATAACGCATCTTCCCTTTCACTCGGAGTGGCCGTATTTCGTTCAGAATGTTGTCTTGTGCTGACCTTCGGGCTTTACCACTGTTTGGTGGTACCCTGATTTCAAGTCTATCTTCAAGGAATACTTGCAACCTTGCACTCTATCTAACAGATCGCCGACTCATGTGCCGCTGCATTTTTTATGGTAATTGCGCTAAGATTCTTATACTCATCGCAACTCGCCCTTCTTCTTAGCCACGAATAGAACCAGTGCACCATACGGCGAGGAGCTCGGCTTGATCCATCCCTTTTCAATTAAACCACCAGTGCTGACCTTCGGGCTTTACCACTGTTTGGTGGTACCCTGATTTCAAGTCTATCTTCAAGAAATACTTGCAACCTTGCACTCTATCTAACAGATCGCCAACTCACGCACCGCTGCATTTTTTATGGTAATTGCGCTAAGATTCTTATACTCATTGCAACTCGCCCTTCTTCTTAGGCACGAATAGAACCGGTGCACCATTCGACGAGGAGCTCGGCTTGATCCATCCCTTTTCATTTAAACTACCAGTCCATCAACCCCTAAATTGACAAACGAAGAATGCTTTCTGCCGAGCCTGCCATCCACAGTGCACGCCCGTCTTTTTTTTGAGGGAAGTACCAGTACCAGCCTACCTTGAAACAGAAGTTTTGTACCTCGTGTTAGCATATGGCACAGAAAGACAAGGAAAAAGAAAAAGATGTTGGGGAAGGCCCTTACTGAGGGCATACTCACACTGGTACTTCCCGGAGTCCTGAAGCTGATCTTGTATGTGGTCCCAAATCCGGTCTTGGATCTGGTACTCGAGCTGGTCTTGGAGCTGGCCAGTGCCTTGCCAGCCAGGCAGGGCGCATTCCACGTTCTCAGGAAACACCCTCACCGAGGGCATACTCACACTTGTACTTTTCAGAATGTATCTGACCGCTATCACGGACACATCTTTGTTTCTTTCTTTTTCCTTGTTTTGTTTCTTTCTTCTTGCCCCAGCCCAATAGATCTCTGTGCCCACCAGCCTTTTCCCTATGAACCTAAGCCTTGCCTGGTCACTGTAGAGTTTGCTATGGTATTTGATACCGAGAAAAATCTATAGCAGAGGGTTCGATGGACTGGTGGTTTAACTCGTCCAACTGTCTACGCAGTTCCTCTAACTCACGAGGTGATACCCGATAAATAGGCCCCTTCGGAATCTTGCCATTGGGCTCAATTTCGATACGGTGCTCGGCATCCCTTTCTAGAACTCCATTTTGGGCTTCTCTCTATGTACTCCTTCAGCAAGGAACTTATTTGGGGCAGAGCCTCTTCCTCTTCAGCCTTCTCCTCGCTCACCGGTCTAATGTATGCTACAAATACCTGGTCAACTACCTCCTTTTTTACCACGTGCCTGGCGAATGCAGGGGCACTCATGCAACAAAGAGATAGGGCGGACTGGACTCTGAATTCATGAAATAACCTCACCTTCTTCTTTTTGCCTTCAGGGCTGGGGAGCCAGCACTCGTGCTCAACCATCTTCACACCAGGCTACGCGGCGTCTCCCCAGTCCATCCCTAATAAAATGTCAAAGGGTAGGGAGTGCAATACTTTCTCTACCTTCTTCCACCCCTCCAACTGGAAGTATACCTTCACCCCATCAACATACTCTTCTACTCTCATCTTTCTATTATTTGTCAGTGTACTCACTACTAGCTCGTCCAATTTCAACACTTTCATCCCAGGATACAACTTTTTTGAACCTCTTCTACTGATATAGCTACGGGTTGATCCACTATTGACTAAGGCACTACATCTGCCGAAATTAGCTCCCCTGTGCTCTTCTTCTTGATTTCGGCCCAGGCTTGGCGGTGAGTGATCGCTTTGTCGCCCATGCCTGCAAGGGATCCACCTAGAGAGACCCTAACACAAGCAGTCACCGGATAGCTATCTAGGTGGTGGCTTAGAAGCAGCTGCAACTTTTACAAGCCATTCCCTTTTCCTAGTTGTCTCCGTTCTGGACAGAAGGGAATGATATGGCAAGGGGTTCCATCTCCTCCATCACCACCATCTGGCTTTCTCAACACCGCCTTCTTCACCCCATGCATCTTGCAATACTCCACGTGGTGCCCTCCGTACTCTTCGCAGGTTTTGCGAACTAGGTGGTACGTATTCTCGAGTATGCAGTTCCATTTCTCAGTCATCTCGTCCTGCCTGACAACCAGATGGTTTTCCGACAGGCACAAGGCATCGGTCTCGTTAGCAAAATGTATCGCTACTTGCGAGAAGAATGGGATTTTGGGGTTAGATTCTTCCTTGGCCTGCTCCTTCAGCGTACCGATCATTGCTGCTCCCGTCTGCAGCATCTTCTTCTTGATCTCCACCCCCTTCCTATTCTTCGCCATGGCCTGCTGTGCCTCCTCAAACTGCTTCTGCTCCTCTTGCACTTTCTTCTCCTCCCCTTTTGTGGCGGCTGTGGCAGCCTGCATCACCTGTTCTCTTTCGTCCAACTTCTCCAGTGTTTCACCTCCCTCAGGCATCCTGATTGCATCCTTCCATTCCTGCAGCATTTCGGGACCAAAAGGGGCAGCTGTGGCTGGACCGGGCTGGGGCCTGGATTCCTTCTGCTCCACCTCCTGTATCAGCTTCCTTCCCCTTTTCTTACCTCCTCCGCCTTTTCATCTTCCTCCTTGGAGTCCATTTTCTTCATTTCTTCATTCAATTTTTTTTTCTGCTCCTCCATCTCCTTTTTCTACCTAGCCCTCTCTTCTTTTTCTGCTCCTCCATCTCTTTTTTCTTCCTAGCCCTCTCTTCTTTTTATGCTCCTCCATCTTCTTTTTCTGCTCCTCCATCTCCTTTTTCTGCTCCTCCATTCAATTTCTTTTTCTGCTCCTCCATCTCCTCCTTCGTTTTCTCCTCCTCGTACGCTGGGTCCCTTGGTTCTTGGACCACCTTCCTGGATTTCAGAGTTGTGTGCATTCGGCACACCTGAAAGAAGCCTTGCGGGAATACCCATCATAACAAGGGGGCCCAGATAACAGGTAGGGCCAGAATGAGATGGAGAAATTTCAGCACAATGGTAAGTAGCACTCCTCACCGCTTAGACCTACCCTCACGACTTAATGCTTCAACACTTAACGTACAACCTACGAGTCAAGGTCGATTGTTACTTAGCTACCCTTCCCTGGCTGGGTCACACGGGTTGGTCGCATGTTAGACAGTACCGGTCTTAGGGCTAGTCAGGTTGTGGTTTAGTTGTCAAGCCTCTACCTACAGACCTGGACAGACCCCTCACCGTGCTTACACAGTTCGGCCATGCACCGGTCAGTACCGGTCCCAGGGTTAGACGGGTTGTTTTACGAGTGCTTGCAGCTCATGCTCGCACTCTCTACTTAGCGTGATCGTGGTCCAGCTATTAGGTCAATCAAGCATACATAGACTCCCGAGACTCAAGACAAGCATTCAACATAATCAACGAGATCAAGATGCGATCGACACAAATTGCGATTGAAATTGACATCAACTGAAAGCTGTTACCAGCAGCATCCAATTTCGGAAAGCTCCAGCAATATTCACAAAACAAAAGTAAATGCAAGAAGCGATAGGGAAGGGTGAGAAGCACTTCACTCAATCCCCAATCGAAGCTCCTCGCCGCTTGATGAAGGTGCAGGTATGTCGTCCTCAATTCCTCCCTTACTCCCCCCTTCTCCTACTAACATCCTCCTCCTAGGTCAACCCCAAGTACACGACCCGCCGACTTTGATCCAAACTCGCGTCCAATGACGCCCCTTCTCCTACCGGCCCCCTCCCCCAAGGTCAACCCCAAGTACACCACCCGCCGGCCTTGATCCGAACTAGCATCCAATTTCGCCTCAAAGATTGTAACGGAAGTACACTCCGATACCAGTGCAAGGAACCCAACTGCAAACAACCATCAATCAAACTTGCAACATACTGATACTTCATCGAAGATTCACACCAAGCATCAAATAGCAAATCACCGAACACGAAGATGAAAACCGCCTCCAACAGTGTATTATTATACAAGAGTCGAGTTCAATTACAACCTGTTAATGGCCGCTATCGCCAGTGGAACCGAACAGGTAATCGCTCTAGCTCTCTCTCACACGCACACTCTCTGACGTCTCTCAATACGTCACGCGCTCACCGTGACTGCCTCTCTCTCTCTCTCTCTCCTGTCTCTTATACACATCTAGATGTGTATAAAACGTCAACTCCACCCTCATCGGTGTCTGACCCGCTCATCAGTTAGGCAAACACTATCTGCACTACAACTCCCTGCTGGAGTCCTACCACAGCATAGGTCTGACCGGCACCTAATTTTCTAAAAATAAATGTGTCCGGCAGGACTCAACCGATCAAGTGGCAGCCTACAACATTCACAAAAGACCGTAAGCATAGTTTAGTTCTATCATGATTAGTTCACTTACAGAAGCTTTGCATAGAACTGGCTATGGTAGTATACAACAGTCCTAAACTAAACTGTTTGTGAGGTGTTAGCAGTCTGTCAACCAACTAATCAACAATGAAACCAGACTATGTTACAGATGTATGTCTGTCAACCAACTAATCAACAATGAAACCAGACTATGTTACAGATGTATGAACAGTGGATATGGTTGTGTTTACAGTTGAGCACCAAATTGGAACCTACCCTCCCCTCAATCCAACATACCGATGAGCATCATTGGAGCGGCAGTGTCATAGGTTTGCAATGTCGGCCCACCCCTGTGCCCCAGGTGCATGCTTATGACCAGGCTTGCCCATTCTTTATCCTCGCGTGCAACAAGCCGTACGTC